GTCTGCCTATTGCAGAGGGTGGGTGATAGAGAGATGGCGGGGGCTGCAGGACTGAGCAGCCTGCATATCTCTCTATTTTCTAGCCTCTCACCCTCCATTCATGTGACAGTAGCTTAACAGTTGTTGAAGTTGTCTTGACACTATAAGAGACAGGATTTGAATAAAGACCTTAAATTTATTATTGCTGTATTGATACTGTTCCTGTATAATCAAGTCATCTTTATGATATTAAGGTAAATATTTGTAAGGATTTGTTTTGTCCTAGGATTTGGAAGCAGTATATATATTATTAAAATCTTGGATGTATAAAATCAAGATCAAGCTCTTATTTTTCTGGGAGTGTATTCTATTAGTAAAGAATAGTTGGTGATAAAAAGTTACAGGCCCTTTGTCTACTGTCCTTTATTTGATAAATGTCAACAAGGTGGGGTGAGAGGGATATATAGAAATATTTGAGAAGGTTTAGTCAGGCATAGAAATCCAGACAAGAAACTAAAGCATAAGCCAGGGTCATAGAAGCCTTAGGGATTTTAAGTATTTACCTTAGTTATTTACCATTTATAATTTTTGATAGAATTCTTAGGTTTTATGTTATGCGTGGAAGATTCCTCTGTGTGTCTGTCAGTGTAGAGTCTACATTGATAGTTCTCACATGTGGTAAAACTTTGACTTTGAGATATCTGTATTGGTCATGTGGGTACGTAAAGACAGTCCTGTGAAGTCAACACCGAGAATGAAAGCTAGGTGGGATGGCCCTGACACCGGCACGGGGCCTTGCACTGCTGGAGAAATCTTAAGGAAGTTACTTCAATAACTGTTTTTAGAGTTTTAGAGTCTACAGTTTGTAGGTGCTCAGTTGGGATGGTATTTGGGGATGTGTAGATGGTTTGATTGTCAAAGTGCGTGAAGGCACGATGGCCTTGTACAGGGCAGTGCTAAATGGCCCAAAAGGAAGGGACAGCCCCTCACAAGAGTTGCCCAAAATGCAGTGGTCCTCAAATGGTCCTCAAAGTCGCAATTCTTTTGTTGTAACATCCTTTATTTTGAATAAAAAATATATCTTAAAATGTCATTTGAGAAGTTAGTGTTGAATTTGCAATGTTTGATATTGTAAAATATTTTAGATATATTATTTGACGTTGTAAGCGAAGAGGGAGAGAGAAAAAAAATGAAGATCTTATTTTTAGCCATTTAGGATTTGAAGTGATTGACAGAAGGGTCCAAACATGTAGGTATGTAGTGAACTCTTAAGAAAAAGATGTTAAGGTCCTTTTGTTCTCTGGAAAGAAATGATGAGTGCAGTCCTATTTGGACAAAGAGGGAATGACAGTGTAGAAAGTCAGAGAGAAGATTACTAATCCTGTAACAATCTGAATTCTATTGTAAAATTTTTCATTAAGAAAAAATAGAGATAACAGTGAAAGAACAGTTGGCCCTCTGTATTTACAGGCTCTGCACCTACAAATTCAACCGACCAAGGACTGAAAATATTTTGGGGCGGGGGTTTGGGGAAGGGTGCGGGGGAGCTATAATAAGTTGTTGTAGATGTGTACCATGGAGTTAGGCCTACAGTGATTGGTGATTGCATCTGCACTGAATATTCACAGACTTTTCCCCCTTGTAATAGTCTCTAAACAATACACTGCAACAACTATTTACACAGCATTTACATTGTATTAGGTATGGGTAACCTTGAGATGATTTAAGTATATGGCAGGGTGTGCCTATGCAGGTTATATGCAGATATGCCATTTTATTTAAGGTGCTTGAGCCTCTGAGTATTTTGGTGTCTGTGGGGCCGTTGGGAGTGGGTCCTGGATCCAGTGCCCTGAGATAGTGAGGCGCTGCTGTACGCGGATATTTTGGATACGTGGTTTCAGATGTCAGGGCATCTCAGTTGTTTGAATTGTGCCTGTGAGCTAGCAACCGCAAAATGGGGAGAGAAGAAAATGTTTTTTTAAAAAAGAGGGAGAAACAAATGGAAAGCACATGAAAAGAAGGAAGCAGCATCTGAAAAAATGGCAGTTCTATTCTTTCATGTCCTTAGGATAAACACCCTGGTGTCGTCCCTGACTTCCCTCTTCCATCCCTGGTATCTAATCCAGTATCACATCCTGGGACTCTATTTTGCAGATAGATCGAGGATCCAGCTACTTCTCACATTTTTTCTCCTACCTGATTTGTAGTTCTTAGTCTCTCTAAATCTAAGTCATGTTAGGTCATTCTTGCCACCGTCAGCATCCCAGTGGCTTCGCATCTCTGGATGGAAAAGCCATAGCCCTTCTGGTGAACAGTACTTACCTTGCAAAACATGGTATAGCTCTTTCCGAAGATCTTTCTTTGAAATGTTTGCATTTTATTGTAAGATTGTTTTCATTCTGTTCCTCAGAACATTCTGTGGCCAATGTTATTAATTCCACCTCTAAAAACTTAGTGAGAAGCAAGTGAAAAACATGACATTTTTTTTCACTCCGGGACATTTTATTCAAAAGATTTCTCCTAGCTGAAACCGGTTTGGCTCAGTGGATAGAGCGTAGGGCTGCGGACTGAAAGGTCCCAGGTTCGATTCCGGTCAAAGGCATGTACCTTTGGTTGCAGGCACATCCCCAGTAGGGGGCATGCAAGAGGCAGCTGATCGATGATTCTCTCATCGATATTTCTAACTTTGTATCTTTCTCCATTCCTCTCTGTGAAAAATTAATAAAATATATTAAAAAAAACAAACAACAAAAACAAAAGATTTCTCCTAGCCAAAACCAGTTTGGCTCAGTAGATAGAGTGTCTGTCTGTGGACTCAAGGGTTCCGGGTTCGATTCTGGTCAGGGGCATGTACATTGGTTGTGGGCACATTCCTGGTGGTGGTGGGGTATGCAGGAGGCAGCTGGTGGATGTTTCTCTCTCATTGACGTTTCTAGCTCTCTATCCCTCTCCCTTCCTCTCTGTGGGTGGGGGGGGGGGGGAGATTTCTCCTAGTGAGACCTCTCATCAGTTAGTAGGCATTTGTGGTACAGAGTGCCAGGCATGCACACCTTCAAGGCCACTAATCTCATCACTGTTAGTCAGTGATTGTACATTTTTAAATTGATAACAATCTTCAGTATCATAGAAAAGGATCAATTATATTCAGTATAGGATGAATACTAAAGAAGGACATGTATCTGAGAAAGAAGCTCAATATTAAATTTGAAAAGAATGGACTTCTTCATATTGGTTTGGCTAGACTGAGCTTTTCAATAAGATGCTAGTTATGGAATACATTCCCTGTGCCAAGTATGAGAAAAAAAAAAAAAAAAAGCTAGTTTAGATTACCAGGCCCTGAAGGTGATCAGGTGAGTGAGGTGAAGTAGCTCAAGGGAAAAGAAATCCCAAACTGTCCTTGTTAATGAACAGGGTAAAATTAAAAGCCCCCGTTCTGCATGAAGTGGGCAGGCAGTATTTTCTCCTCGTTTGCAGAATATCACTGTTTTACAAGTTCCTTAGTTATTTACAATCCTATTTAATTAAAGAGTAATATGCAAATTGACCATCCCTCTAACACACAAGATGGCTGCCCCCATGTGTGGACACAGATGGCTGCCAAAAGATGGCCAGCAGGGAAGGGCAGTTGTGGGTGATCAGGCCAGCCGGCAGTTGGGAGGGACCAGGCCTGCAAGAGAGGGCAGTTAGGGGTGACTGGGCCAGCAGAGGAGGGCAGTTGGGGGCAACCAGGCCTGTAGGGGAGGGTAGTTGGGGGAACTCAGGCCAGCAGGGGAAGGCAGTTACGGGCAACCAGGCTGGCAGGGGAGGACAGTTAGGGGGTGGTCAGGCTAGCAGGCAGAAGCAGTTAAGGGGAATCAGGCAGGCAGGCAGCGATGGGAGCCAGCAGTCCTGGATTATGAGAGGGATGTCCAACTACCCATTTAGGCCTGGGCAGTTGGACATCCCTCAAGGGTCCCAGATTGGAGAGGGTGCATGCTGGGTTGAAGGACATTCTCCCCCTCCTCCTCCCCCCCCTCCCTCCACCACCCCACCCCAATGCATGAATTTCACGTACTGGGCTTCTAGTTAGAACATATAGTTCTAAGGTGAGCAGTGTCTTTGGGGTATAGGAAGAAGAGATGATTGTAAATAAATTCATGAAAAAATATAATTATACTTAATGGTGTGTGTGTGTGTGTGTATATATACATGCTGAAAACTTAGAATATTACAGTGGAAGTGCTCCTGAAAGTGGCATGATTTTCATTTATTGTGAAAGACTTCAATTGACACGCGGGATGTATGTTGCAGAGAGGACCATCTTTATAGATTGTTATTTAGAAATAAGTATGTCACATTCGTTTGTAAGGAACGATTTTGTATTCTTGTCATTTTATTATACTATGAGTATATTGAAGAAGAAATTTAAAGGAACAATTGTAGTTCTTTCCAAACAGCTTTTAATGAAACATTTGCATTTTACTACAAGGTTTTTGTTCTGTTTCTCAAAGAGAATTCGCTATAAAAATGTTATTGAATCCGCCTCTATTTCAGGAACTTGAAAAACAAAATAATGTAAAGGGGTCTAATTGTGTTTGTATTCAACTCAGGGTTGATATAAGTAAGAGAAGGACAATTAAATCACATAATTTATGCAACAAGGCTTTGTGTTTCTATGAACAAAGCTAACATTTCTTTTCAGGAATGATGCAATTCCAAAGCAAAAATTTGATGTCATTCTAATGAGTCTGCTTTCAATTGTAGAGTACGATGAAGCCCTGGGAGAGATTAGCAAGAAATCTTTTTTATTGTAGCTAATAAATCTGGGAAGTAAGCTCTCCGCATAGATTGAAGTTGATCTGGCATGGAGTTGCTTTATGAATAGCCCTTTGAGCAAACTCTGCAGTTCTGTGTGTGGTTTGAAATCCCTGTAAATTTGTAGGCAGGTACATATTACAATTGTCTGTTTTTCTTTTTAGGGCTCATGTAATCAAAGAAGTTTTTGTTGTGTGTATCTTTTCAGAACACAACAGGAATTGAAAATGAATCAGGTGAGTTTAAATATAAGAATTTATACAAATACATTACCTAGATGTTAGACCAGTTCTTGATTTCTAAAAGATAGTAACACACAACATTCATTCCTCCCAGGTTTTCCTTTCTGTTCTTAATGCCATTAATGAATACATTGCTTTCCTGGTGTGCGTTTTGGGGGTGTGGGTTGGCATTTCTATGGAACGCTAAGTAGAGGACTCATTTGTTCTTAGGGACCTAATTCAGATTTTCTTTCTTTTTTTTACCTCCTGCTACACTCTGGTGTTATTTGTCTTGTTTTGAAGTTTACTAAGCTTTTGTTTTTAATACTTTTTATTCTGTAATACTCATTGACTGAAAAGAGAGTATTAAAAGTTTTGTTGTTGATTTTTAAAGACCAAAATTGATCAAACGGGAAACTTTTATACCTGTTCGTGGAGTAGAAACAAGAGGGCAGATATTGAAATGTAAGATGTGCTTCACCTTCCAGGGGTTTGGGATTACCTGGAGATTAAACAGTTCTGCTGTGGACACTTCTGTAGCCTCAAGGGCGTTTTGATAAGTAGAATCTGTTATATGGATTTAATATGTTCTAAAGTAGAATTCTTATTTTCTGATCTTAATATCATTTCACTTTCAGTTATAGAAATTTATGGGTGTCAGAAACATTCTCTTTTGAAATCTTTATAAACACATTTTTTTTTTAAAAAAAGGACAGAACTTAAATATGTGAAGTCTATAATTTTTAGTGCTTAGCTTAAAACTACCAGTCTGGAAAATATTTTGTATCCCTCATCAAGTGAAACTTGGGACACCTTTTTATCAGTTACAGGTGCCTCTAACTGAGATCACAAGTCCAATTTTATTAGGTGGCCAAGTTTAATAAATTCAGTCCTGTGCTGCATTGAGAGATGTGAAATTTTTGGAATGGATTCTTTGATTTCTTTTTATTACTTTCTTTATCAAAATATATTTATTTTAATGCAGATGACCATATGTCATAAAAACGAATCTGGTGAACACATGGGGCACATGGTTTCTATTATTTTAAAACTTGCAGATTTACTGACTGCTTTTGAAGGCAAATTGTTTCTGAAATGGTAAAATGGGGGCGGGAAAGAGAACAGTGGATTTTCACAGTCATTGCCCATAAAGTTATATACATATATGTGTCATAGATTTCATATATTTTCCCACTTCAAGACTGATTCCTAATGTGAACCTTGTCACCCAAAGAAGCTTGCTTTTCTAAAATGGCCCAGGAAGTCTTAATTTTGGATTAGAATGATCATAAAAAAGAAAAAAAAGAATGATCGTGAAAGTTTCCACAGTGGAATCTAAATGTTGACATTGCTTTTGTTGCCTCATTGTTTACAGTCATTGTCTCAGTGGCTACAGCTCGCACCTTCTGCTTAATAACGCTTTAATTCTTACATCTTATTAGGCTAGTTGCATTTCTGATATTTTATTTCTTTGACATGTCACATTCACTTCAATATTTCATTTATATCAAATGAACTTGTATTTAAAGAAAGTCTTCAAGCCATTTAAAAGAATTGTGACCTTTTTTTTGTGTGGCTTTTTTACAATTTCATTTTACGTTCGACAAGTTTTAATATCAGATCTGTGGAGGACTGCCTTTGATGCTAAAAGCCAAATGTCAGTGGAAAAGGGTCCTCTTATGTTTCTAATGGTTAGCACATTTCTGATGTGGGTATAATTTAAATGGCCTGGTAGTAATGAAACTTTTATTTGTATTATAAAAACTGTCCACTTTTTATGAGTAAAATTTCAGCATCTTTAGTTATATTTTCATTATTTGAGGAATATTAGTTACATGATATTTAGTCCTGATTATTATATCATGGCAAAACAATCTGTGACTGTTTTTCAGTAGTTGTCCCAGTAATTTAAAAAAAAATAAGAATTGTTTCAGTACATTTTATGTTTTTCCTTCTTGTATTTATTCTTCTCATTTGTAGCCAGTGAATATGAGCCATGCACGCTTGAAAACTTCAAAATAACTACATAAAAGTGTAGATATTAAACAAGTTTTAACTAACTAGATTGATTTGTAATTCAAATCTTGATGGTGAGTTTAGGGTTAGATTTTTTTTCTCTCTAGGGACTGCTCAACATAGCTTTGATGAATGTTAGCTGTCAGCTATGTCCCTTATGATGGGTGTGGTCTCTTAAGGCAATAACACAGCATCACTCATACATGTATGCCTGACAGCCGAGTTTTAAGGACTCAGTGACCCTAGGAGTGAGCATTTCATATTGCTTACAAGTTAGTCCTTTAGAGGAAACGAGAGTCCAAAGCCCAGTGCTGCTGGCATGTTAAGCACTGACTACTGAAGCAGCGTTCTGGACTGCTCATTGTTACCAATGCGTTTCCAGGAGTTTGCGAGGCTTCCCCTCCAATCCCAGCCCTGGAGCCGAGACCCACATGCTCTGTATCCCTCTTTCTCTTTTGGTCTTCTCTCCACTCAGCACTCACCCCTTTCTTCCTATCTCTTGTCTTCCCAGTTTAGAACCCGGCTTGCTTTCCCTGTGAGCCTTGGTTTTTCTGACTGAGCCCAGGCCTGAAGGGCAGGCAAGAAGAGCAACTCTCTGCCTTCTCCCCTCGCTGTCCATTTTCTCTTCTCTCCCTTTGCAATCATAGATATCCTTCGCTTACTTTACACATCCATCTAAATACTTAACTTTGAGATGTTCCACTAATTTTCTTCTTTTTCCTAGATTGATCTAGGAGAATCCAGAACTTTATAAATGTTCTCTTATTGAATAGAGTTTAGAAGGCTGTATAGTAGTTCCTTACCTCCTTTCCTTCAATGTTCTTTCCTTATAATGTCAATGAGATGCCTTAGGAAGTTAACTTCTGTTTATATCACTTAGTCCTATGGTAAAATTGTTTCATTTTACCAAATTTCACTTAAAGTTGCACAATTTATGAATGACATTAAATGAGGACTTACTGTACTTTGATAGAACATCCAAGGTGAGTGAAGTTCCATAATGCAAGTAGGTATATTAGAGTTAAATGCCATATTCCTGTCTATTGAGTGCTTACCCATCATGCCAGGCATTTCATTGTCACACATACATTTTCTTATTAATTCAGTCTTTATAGCTTCCCTATGAAGTATAGGATTTTTAACCATTTTATGGATGAAGACATTAAGGCCCAGAGAGGTGGCTTGCCCATGATCATTCAGACGTGGTAGATCTTGGATTCACCCCAGGCCTGTAGATTCCAAAGCCCAGTTCTTGCTCGCTGTGCTACATTTCTATGTCAGGATACGCTGTGTGATGCTGTGCTAACATCTGCTCCAAAATATCTGGGGCTTAACAGCCGTTTATTTCTTGTTCTTAGTACTCATCCATTGTAGCTCTGCTATTGTGGTTGCTCAAGAACCAAGGATGATGGAGGCTTTATCTCAACATGTGTTACTTCTGTTTACATTTAACTGGTCAAAGTTAGTCATATGGCCACATCTAACTTAAAACTCAGGTGGGGGGGGGGCAGAGCCAAGTGCCTAGGAAGACAGGAGAACTGTAATATTGGGGTACAGCCCAATCATTCCAGCTTTATTGATATATATTTAATATAAAACATTCTGTAGGTTTTCACCTTGATGTAATATAGTGGCCTTGATTACCATTTATTGAGTCACACTTAATTTTCTAAAAAGAACCTTTGTATAACTCTTATTACTAATATTTGAAATTTCTACCAGTATAGTAGCTTATGATTGCAGCATCTCTCTGTCCTTATCAATAATCTGTGGTAATGCCAGCAATGTAGCCTCCTAAACTTGTTTTAAAGTTTTATATAAAAAAATTAAAAAGGAAGGTAAATCACTTGATGCTGCAAATGTAACCCTGAGAATTGTAATAAGCCATCTATATTTCCATTGTCTTAACTGTTCTGAAGTTCATTCATCCCATCACTCATCCTGCGTAGACTGCATCCCAAGATGCTGTGGATTCTGCAGTGAAGTAGATGGGTAAGGGCTCTGCTCTCAACTCACATACTCACAGAGGGCAAGAGTGCAGAAGCAGGAAGGTAAGCTCAGACAGTAAAAACCGTGAGGACAGTGCAGCGAGGTCACGTGGTAAAGAATGCTGGTGAAAGTAGGGGGAGGTTCTCTGGATCACATGGTCAGAGAAGGCTATTCCAGAAAGGTGGTTAACAATAGAATCATAATAAATTAATAGAATTCTTAATAATAATAATAATAATAACCGAATGATAGGCCAAAGTAATAAGCAAGAACCAGATATGTGAGGATCCGGGGAAAGAAAATTCTAGGCAGCGTGAACAGACAGTGCAAAGGCCTCAATGTGGGAATGCGCTTGGTGGTTCAAGGCATGGGGAGCCAGCCAGAGCCGGAGCTTGGCGACACGTGGGGCCCTGGGACCAGATGCAGTTTGTATGTGAGGCGAGGGCCAGCTTTGTAGGTCCTCAAAGGCCATGGGAAGAAGCTTATGTTTTATTGTGAGTTCAGCGGGAAGCCACTGGACAGGGACATACTTTGGTTTCCATTTTTAGCACATCATGTTCACTGGGCCAAGAGTCTGGATTGTAAAGGGGCAAGAGCATGGTAATATGCTTGCTCACAATTGAGATTAACACCGTATTTGAGGACATTTTCTTCACTCGGACAACTTAATGGGCCTGCCAAATTTGGGCAAGAAGGTGCTTTTTAATGTTTCAGAACTGTTTGACTGCTTTTCTTTTCCAAAGGCGGCATATAAGATTTCCTTATCTGTATCCCCATCTGTTTATTGTTATTGCAGTCTTACTCATTCCTTAACCACATAAAATTTAATGCTATTTCAGTAAACTGAAGCTTGTTTGATCCCCACCCCTACCCATTTCCCCCCAAGAATAGTAAAGTCTTTATTTCAAGTTTCATTGGGGTTGTTCACAGAATTTGAATATTTTAATGCTCTTTAATTCTTGGACATTATTATTTTTTGCTGGTAACAATGATTACTATGGTGGTTATTA